GAGTGAGTTTCCTTAAAAGGAAAGGATATAAACATTGCTAGGTCTTCTTCAAGTAGATGTGGAATGACTAGCATCCTTGTTGGGTGCAAAAGTCTGTGGACATTTTACAGTTTCCAGGTGCTTTGGATTGGAGGGAAGTCAACAAGTAATAGTAGGCTGTGTTTAGACACCATTCTCTAAGTGATATGCTTATGTGATTTTTCACCGGGCACACTAGGATAAAAAAAAAAAAAGACAGAAAAAGGAATGATTAAGTGAATTAAAGATGAATTAAGTAGAATAAGGGATGAATTAAGATGAACTAAGATGAACTGATATACTCCTTATGGATACCACTATAATGTAGAAAATATCATTGATGGTAAATCTGGACTGATCTCCCTGTCCCTGTCCTGCTCATTCACTATCTTTGTTCTGTAATGTTCTCTTATTTAAATGTTCCAGTCCTAATCCACAAGTGGCACAGGGATGAACCAATCATTCTTTATGACCAAAGGGATATAATTTCTATCAGGATGCTCTAAGAATTGATCGGTGTTCACATAATATAGAGAATACATGCAGATATGTTCTGCCTACGATACCACAACTCAGAACATATTTTCATGCCTTTCTAATTTGCTGTTATATAAAGCTGCAAGGGACGAAAAATATGGAGATGTGACTCTCTGTTCTCTTAAAAACTGAAGCTCTATGTGAAAACATTCTGGGGCTCTGGCAGGGTGTTTTTTTGGTTTTTCTTGCTTAAGGGTAGAAATGAATACTTACTACACTGAACTATACTTTGTATCCCTGCTATCATGCAATGTTCCATCTTATACCTTTTTCATTCTTATCATCAAAAGCTGCCCTTTCCTCATTTATAGAATTGGATGTAAAGCCCTTTTTGCTGCAACAAAATGTTTGCTTAACAGGAGCTTGTAATTTAGCTGTTTTGATGGCCACCACACTGTTTTTTTCTCTTTCTTATTAATCTCATAACATACACCAGAAAATGAGAAAGTAGTTGGATACAACCAATCTTTTGAAGAAATACCTTCTTTGATTTTTTATTTTACTTTAAGTGTTCACAGTTCACTAGCTACATTAGCTTGTGAATATGATTCGGTGTTTTTTTTCTCTGTCAAAATGTACAATATAAGGACTTATGCGATTTTTTAATCACACGGAGTTTTAATGGCAAACTCTCTGGGCTAGTGTGCAGTAGCATTAGAAGCAGGTCAGTAATGAAGAATTAAGCCCCACCTGCGATACAAAATCTCAGTAAACTGGCAATTGCTCCTCCCAGAAAGTCACAGCAAAGTTCTTCATCTCTTTAGCTATCTATTACATATATGTTATATATTTTATAGATTATAATTCCACTGAAACAGAACACCACATATATACCTAGCAGTGAATCTAGTCATTGCTTTTGACTTTAGAGTGGAAGAAAAGAAAGACAAAAAACTCTTATTTCAATTAACTTAGAAGAATAGGAATAACAATCGCACTCGGTCTGTCACAAGGCCATTTATCTTTTCCATAAGCATCTGGACACGAAGGAACAGGTGGCCTGCTGCCCTCTGGGCGGCATGTGCTTTCACTGGGCCATGTTTCATTCCATGCTTAGGGCCATTTACAACACTATCCACTCATATTCCATTTTACAATTGAATTGATATTAATACACAAAAAGTAGAGAGAAATGTTTAAATTTTATGAATGCGAGCAAAATGATTAGAGATCACAAAGCTTTTGAATTTTGAAGCTTGGTTCTATCTTGTCCTTACATAAGCTCTTTGATCTTCTCTCACCCGTTTTAGATGATTTTATGTGTTCTTATGTTGTTTATTATTTTAGAGAATTAGTCATGTAGCTTCTTTTTAAATAGAGGTTATTTTAAAAAGAAAATTTCCATTCCATTACAAGTTTGGGAATTTCTTCACCGGGATGGAATTAGTGTTTACTTTCTGCATGTAGATGAATACATATACTCTTCTGTATAATGAATAAAAGTTGGAAGACCTAGGTTTTAATCCTTGATCTTCCCTAAATAATTCTGTGACCTTGGGCAAAATCATTCATCTTAATTTGCTTTCCCTCCTCTTTACAGTAGGCGCTACTTTGTCATCTTTTTCATGATTAATGGAGCTATCAATTTGGAGAGAAGAGACTTGAATTATTTTACAAATGTGAGGCAATATTAATAACAATCCAGTTTTAGGGTTAAGCTTAAATAAACATCTTTAATAAGCAAGAAGACACTGCAAAGACAGTGAACTTCTTTCAAATCTTATTGTTTTCCTTAGTAACCACCCTTGAATTATGGCTTCATGTGCCAATGGCAGGTTGCAAAGCTGTGGCACCTTTTCCTTGGAAAACCCCTCAGGTGTAATCTCTCAGAATACAGACAGGATTGAGGAAACACCTGGAAGTCTGAATTTTTACAAGTGGCCATACATTTGAGTTCTGCAAATATATAATTTTAGTTATTGTGTTTTACAGCATTTATTATTTATTTATTTTGACAAATAATTTTTGAGCATTTTCTCTGTGACAGACAGTATTCTAGGCTACTGGAGATATTGGGAAACGTGGAACCAGAGGTCCTCTACAAATCTTCCTCATTGACCTAACCTAAATACATAACATGACTTTATTCTTGCATATTACACCTCAGTTATAGAACTCTACTCCATTGTAGTCTTTGGTGTGTTAATATGAGACAGAAGAAGAGGTAAGAAGTTTGCAACAAGGCACATGCGAGCTTAAGGTCTGGCTCCATCAGTAACTATTATGTGAAATTGGGCAAGTTTCTTGAACTGTTTAGAACTCACTTTCTTTTGAATATCATTGGAATGATGGGAGTATTCAATTGGAATAATCATATGCAACTTTCCTAGTGCATGTTAAAAGTGCCACAAAATTTAGTTTTCTTTTCCCTTTTTCAATGGCATTTATTGCATACTGCTTTTAAAGTTATATATATGTATGTATATATATAAATATATATATTATATCATTTTCTTTCCTGTATCCATCTGTAAAAGCCTTACTAATTATTTTTCAATATAATCTTTAGAGTCTATAAATGGAAGTATGTTCTTTTCCATTTTTGAAAAAAAATACATTAAGGAAGGAGAAGATCAGCTAGCAATTTGGATGAAGAAAGCATAACTTTAAGCCTAAATTAAACCCAATTGCTGGGTATATTTGTTTCCTTGAAAGTCTGACATAAAATATGCTGCTTCCTGGTGGTAAAGAATTGATGTGATTTTATTTTGAATAAGCTTTGAAGGAGAAAACTATATATCTTCAGCATTTTTTCATCTTATCTATATAAAATGGCAACTGATTTAAGTAAAAGCTCTTCAGGAAGTGGTCTTGTAAACTTAGCTCTAATAAACTGAATGTCAATGTGATTTAAAAAAAAAATCCTTACCAGAGGGGGAAAAAAAAAAACTCTACTTCATGCCAAGTCTGGAAAATATGCTTTGCTGCAACTTAGATTTTTTATATACTCTTGGAGTCCATTCACTTAGTTTTTGTGTCACGCAAACTACCAGGGAGAGTTTGGGTGAAATAACCACCGGCTTTCCCTCAGTAGAGCTGGCGATGAGGCCCGAGAAAGGCTTGTGATCATTTGCTTCATCATGAGCACTTTTCTTCAGCCTATCCTGCTTACAGACATCTGGGGAGGAAGGCCTCCTTTCCGCACATTTGCAGGTGACAGGGACCCAGGATCTGTGTTAGACAATGGGAGGACGATGGGCTCATTCCAACAGGAGACATTTTACAGAGAATACTGTCACATCCTTTACCTGAAGGTCAAAAATGGACTCTACAGGTACAGGGGAGCTACGATGGATCTTAATCGCACAAGCACTGGGAGAAAACACCCTTTTAATTTTGTCACTGCTACCTCTCCTTCCCTAGCCCCTGTGCCATTGGGCACAGTGCTGGCCTCCTCTCCTGACTGGGACTCGCCTGTCAGCCTCCACTGTGCTCACTGTTTTCCACTCCCCTCACACCCAACTTCTCTGAGTTCCCGGAGCACTTCCCGTGTGCTGATTAGACCCTGGGCCTTCACTGATTATTTCCTCTTTCTGGAACTTTCATCACTCTTCTTTTTTACATGGGTAACGCTTATCTATCCTTAGACATAGGATCAGATTAAACTCTTGGGAAAACTACCAGGCCTCCACACACACACAGACTGGATTATGTGCTTACAGAGTGTCCTCAACTTCAGCAGTTTTATAGTCAGGGCCTGCTATGTCATTTGAACACCACCTGGCTGCAGCAGAGGAAACCGATTTCCCCTTCGCAAGGGCCACCACGTCTACACATGGTAGGCAGGCAACCCCAGAGGAATTGCAGTCTCCCTGCTGGGACACGCAAGATGGAGGGTGGATGCGAGCAGACAGCAAGTCGCCTGCCAAATCTGCTATGCCACTGCCACTTGGGGGCAGAGACAACGCCTGCTGCTCCCAGCTGCACCCTCACTGCTGCAGGATGCCATGGGGACCTGCACCTGCGACCGTCCTTGTGCTCATGCCCAGAGGCCCCTGTCCACTGCTGAGACCCGGTTGTCACTAGCGTGTTGGGGCAGGGAGGGAAAGGCCAGGCAGGGCCTCCTGGAGAGGTGGGACTGAAAGGTGGGACTGAGCCAGAGCCGAGGCTCCGGGCTCTAGTCACAAGCTCCATTGTCCCACTGGATTTTATTTGTAAAACACAAAGTTAAAGATAAATTTATTAAACATTTCAACACAATGACCACAGGACATTTGAGAGCTTGGCATTCCTGAGCATATGGCCCCGTGTGACTGTACCAGCCCAGTGCCTGGGAAGCTGGCCCTGTTTGTAACTGATCTCACTCTACTTTTATTCCTTTTAAATTGTATCCTTTCCCTACTACACTGTAAGCTCCATAAAGACAGGGACCATGTCTATAAGCAACATTTAATAATTATTTGTTGAATTAATAAATGAATGATTAATAAAGTCCTTCCATTCTTTGGTGCATGTCCTTGGTCTTCTGGGGGACTTCTGCACAGCCTAAATGTGCCACTGTCCTCCCTCACGTCCATGCCTTTCACCTTCGCTCCCCTTTCAGAAGCCGGTGCTATCGTTTAGGTGCTCATCATGTTTCTTCAGAAAAACAGAAAAATATTTATCATGAGGGTTTTTTTTTTCTAGCTTCCAGGATCATATTCTAAACTATACATATGATCACGTAACTTTTACACTTAGAAATTTTTGCTGGTCACTGTTGTCTAGGAGCTGAAATCCTGGCCTCTTGTGATGTCCAAGACTTCCCATAATATAATCCCAATGTATTTTGTAGCATTCATCTCTTACTACTTCTGCCATATATAGAAGTGTACTTGTCCTTCCAATTCCAGATTAAAAGATTGATTACCTGTTTTCTCTTGTGAAGTCTCTTTAGATTATATCATCAGCTTTGGAGGACAGTGTCTCCCTGTCTTTGCACACCAAGAGCTCTTCATTACACCGCAGCATTGACTGAAGAAATGATCGTGTAGAACTGTAGCTTGTTTTACTCCATAAATTGAATTTCTACGAATAAATATCAACTCTTTGGATGCTGCATGGTGTTAAATTCAATTAGCATTTTAGTTTACTAAATCAACATGTTACACTAAAGGTTTTCATGTTTCAAGATGTATGTTAGGTCTCAAGGAAGCAAATAATGAATGTCATGATCCCATGCACATAATCTAATAGGAAATGTAGATAATCATTAGATCAAGTACAATATTATAAGCACTATACTAGACACAAGAGGAAAGGTGTCTTTGACAGCTAATATATTTCCAGAGTTAAGAAAATCATGATAATGAGGGGACTAGGAACTTTACACTCTAAGTATTTTAGAAAGAATTAGTTTCCAGAAAAGAGATAAGACAATGGAGTAACTTAAAAGTCATACAGTTGAAAAGGAATTTCATTTATTTTCACATTCTTAGAGGGCAGGAATAGAAAAATAATAAGTAGAAGTTCTATAGAGTTGGATTCTGGATGAAGAGAGAGAAATATTTTTCTAAAAATGAGAGTATTGAAATACAGAGTGAGTTTCCTTAAAAGGAAAGGATATAACCATTGCTAGGCTTATTCAAGTAGATGTGGAATGACTAGCATCCCTTGTTGATGCAAAAGTCTGTGACATTTTACAGTTCCCAGGTGCTTTGGATTGGAGGGAAGTCATACAAGTAATAGTAGGCTGTGTTTAGACACCATTCTCTAAGTGATATGCTTATGTGATTTTTCACTCCGGGCACACTAGGATAAAAAAAAAAAAAGACAGAAAAAGGAATGAATTAAGATGAATTAAAGGATGAATTAAGTAGAATTAAGGGATGAATTAAGATGAACTAAGATGAACTGAATACTCCCTATGGAATACCACATATATGTATGAAAATATCATGATGGTAACTGACTGAATCTCCCTGTCCCTGTCCTGCTCATTCACTATCTTTGTTCTGTAATGTTCTCTTATTTAAATGTTCCAGTCCTAGATCCCACAGTGGCACACGATGAACCAATCATTTCTTTATGACCAAAGGGATATAATTTCTACAGGATGCTCTAACTAATGATTCGGTGTTCAATAATATGAGAATACATGCAGATATGTTCTGCCTACACTACCACAACTCAGAACATATTTTCATGCCTATTCCTAATTGCTGTTATATAAATGCTGCAAGGACGAAAAATGTGGAGATGTGACTCTGTTTTCTATAAAAACTGAAAGCTCTATGTGAAAACATTCTGGGGCTTCAATGGCAGGTGGTTTTTATGGTTTTTCTTGCATTAAGGGTAGCAAATGAATACTTACTACACTGAATATACTTTGTATGCCCTCTGCTATCATGCAAATGTTCCATCTTATACCTTTTTTCATTTCTTATCATCAAAAGCTGCCCTTTCCTCATTTATAGAATTTGGAATGTAAAGCCCTTTTGCTGCAACAAAATGTTTGCTTAACAGGAGCTTGTAATTTAGCTGTTTGATGGCCACCACACATGATTTTCTCTTTTCTCTACTTAATCTCATAAACATACACCAGAAAAAATTGAGAAAGTAGTTGTATACAACCAAATCTTTGAGAAAAAATACCTTCTTTGATTTTTATTTTACTGTTAAGTGTTCACAATTCACTAGCTAAGTAGCTTGTGAATATTTGTGTATTCTTTTTATCTGTCAAAATGTACAATTTGAAAGGACTTATGGATTTTTTAATCACACGGAGTTTTAATGCCAACTCTCTGGGCTAGTGTGCAGTAGCATAAGAAGCAGGTCAGTAATGAAGATTTAGCCCCACCTGCGATACAAAATCTCAGTAAACTGGGCAATTGCTCCTCCCCAGAAAGTCACAGCAAGGTCTTTCATCTCTTTAGTATCTATTACATATATATTATATATATTTATAATAGAAATTATAATTCCACTGAAACAGAGCACACACATATATATCCTAGCAGTGAATCTAGTCATTGCTTTTGACTTTAGAGTGGAAGAAAGAAAGAAACAAAAAAACCTTCTATTTCAATTAACTTAGAAGAATAGGAATAACAATGGCACTCGTCTGTCACAAGGCCATTTATCTTTTCCATAAGCATCTGGACACGAAGGAACAGGCTGACTCTGCCCTCTGGGCGGCAGTGCTGTACATGGGCCATGGTTTCACTTTCATGCTTAGGGGCCATTACAACACTATCCACTCATATTCCATTACAATTGATTGAATATTATACATCAAAAAGTAGAGAGAAAATGTTTAAGATTTTATGAATGCGAGCAAAATGATTAGAGCTCACAAAAGCTTTGAATTTTGAAGCTTGGCTTCTATCTTGTCCTTACATAAGCATCTTTGATCTTCTCTTCACCCAGCTTTTTAGATGACTTTTATGTGGTCTTATGATTGTTTTATTATTTTAAGAGAATTAGTCATGTAGACTTCTTTTTAAATAGAGGTTATTTTAAAAAGAAAATTTCCATTCCATTACAAGTTGGGGAATTTCTTCAACCGGATGGAATTAGTGTTTATTCTTCTGCATGTAGATGAATACATATACTCTTCTGTATAATGAATAAAAGTTGGAAGACCTAGGTTTTAATCCTGGATCTTCCCTAAAATAATTCTGTGACCTTGGGCAAATCATTCATCTTATTTGCTTTTTCCCCCTCTTTATACAGTAGGCTACTTTGTCATCTTTTTCATGATTAATGGAGCTAATCAATTTGGAAGAGACTTGAAAATTATTTTACAAATGTGAGGCAATATTAATATAACAATCCAAGTTTTAGGGTTAAGCTTAAAATAAACACTCTTTAATAAGCAAGAAGACACTGCAAAGAACAGTGAACTTCCTTTCAAATCTTATTGTTTTCCATTAGTAACCACCCTTGACTATGGCTTCATGTGCAATGGCAGGTTGCCAAAGCTGTGCAAACTTTTCCTGTGGAAAACCCCTCAGGTGTAATCTCTCAGAATACAGACAGGATTAGGAAACACCTGGAAGTCTGAATTTTTACAAGTGGGCCATACATTGGAGTCTCCAAATAATATAATTTTAGTTATTGTGTTTTACAGCAATTTATTATTTATTCTATTTGACAAATAATTTTTGAGCATTTTCTCTGTGACAGACAGTATTCTAGGTACTGGAGATATTGGGAAACAGTGGACCAGGTCCCTCTACTTTGAAGGGGAAGTGGACTCTGAGAGACATTGGGTGAGGCAGGTAGCAATGTCCCTGAGTATCTGAAATAGGCTCCATTTGTAATGCAGTAAGATTGATCTTCATCTTTCTTCTTTCATGCCACTACTTGTCATATCCATGTTGATCCCTGCCATGTTTTTTGATGTGTCTTTTCTGGTCCTCTGATCAGGGCATTTAATACAGTTTTTCCTAAAGCATTTGCCATGAACGCAAGCCCATTAGATGTTCTGAGAAGTTCTACCAAAAAGAACTCTCTTTAATCTAACAAAGAGTACTCCAAACTTATTTTATACAAACTATACTTTCCCTCCACCCCCAGTAATATCCTTTAGTACTTACTATCTCAATATAAGACCCTGGGAACTGCTGCATTAAGCAATCTTCAAAATACCTAATGGTCTGTCTCCTGTAATTTTCTCTCAAAGGCTAGGTCTTGGTAAAAAGGTTGAAGCAAGAAGTTTTTTTCCTTTAGGAGTAAGTTTCCAAATTAAAAATAAATTCATATGGCAAAAATGTAACTATTAGATTATTTGTTTTAATTACTGACAGATGAGAAATACAATGCATGATTTTTTCTTTTAAGATTAGAGAATTTATTCAAAAGGAATTGAGAATAGAATTAAACCAATTGATGATAACCATAATATTATAATATGCTGATGGTTTGAAAGGGAAAAAAAACGGTTAATTGTATGAATAAGGTGATAAAATGATAATAGTCATACCTATATAGTCAGGTAAATCTAATAATATTTCTAAAGCTTTTAAAGATCCCACCTTAAGATAAAAACATCACTAATTGCCACATATACTAAATCTCTTATGGAGCACTAAGACATGAGTTTAGGTCTCAAATTCATGTGTTTATTTCATTTGCTTACTTTTTCATTCTTCTTTTTTTTTTTTCTCATTTGTTTTCATAAAAATTCTATGAAAATTTCCTGATTAGAGCTACCTACCAATTCAGTGAATTTTTATAACAGTTTTGTTAATAGTCTTTATTCCATCTTTTTCTGTTACATGCTTTGTTATAAAGCTGCCTGCAAGGATGTGGACCAACCTCTGTCGTGGATGAAAGTGTCTCTCTGAGGGCTGGCCCTTGTCCTTGCCCACCTTCTTCCTGTTCCTTAATTCTGCTATTTCTCCAGGTTTTGCCTTCTTTGGACCCTTTTTCTTTTCATTATTTACATTCTCCCTGGGCAGTCCACCTTTTCATAGCTTCAAATGATAACCATATACATTTGACTCTAAAAAGTATTATTTCCAAGTAAGGTATTTCCCAAGGTCAAGGTCTACATATCCACCTGGATATGCCCCTGTGCCTGTGCCACAGCCAATCACGACTCATTAAAAGTGCACTCAATCACGACTTGTTAAAAGTGAACGCTTTATCTTTTACCTTAACCCCCTGACACCAAGCAGATAATATGGACCAAGCTTTTTCATTTGTTTTTTTCACTTCATCTTTTACAGATCTCTATCTCAGCATCTAGGATATTTTACCCTTCTTATCTGCTCAATGACAGTCTTCTTTTATTATATTCCAAGCTTGTCGAGAGCAGCAATTAAAAAAAAAATCTTTTTATAGTTAGAGCATCACACAAGGCCTGACCTACAGAAAGTTGCCAATGGATATTTCCGTTGAGTGAGTCCAGGGAAAGAGATGAAACTCAGTGATGAGTTGCAGGGAAGGTGAAGGCGTGGCATTGTGTTCTGGAAAGATATACTATTCTGAGGAGATAAACTTCCAATGAGAGTGTGAGGCCCGGAGGAAAAAGCAGGATCCCAGTTACACTATAAGAGTGGGTGACAGTTAGGCTGATGGAACATTTCTGAACACAAGAGTCAGGCTGGTGTAACAGAAAGAGCCAGTGGGCTTTGGCTCTTCTGGCCTTGGCCTCTACTAGAGTGTATTACTGCTGTCTGTCGCCCCTCTCATTTCCCACGCTGGGACCTTGCAAAGGGCAGCACCCCTAGCAAACTCATCTTTGTGTGGATGGCCCCTAGCTTAATGACGAGAACATAATAAACACTCAACAAACATTGTTAGATAAATACAAGGTCTAGGACAAATTAGTAGAACTTTTTGAACCTCACTTTTCTGATGTATAACGTAGGGATACCAATAACTACTTCAGTGGTTATTTTAATGATTAAATGGGAGAATGCATATACAGCAATAATCACAATATATAAATGGAAAATACTATAAAATATGTTACTTTCCTTATATGTTTTCCACTCTAAAACCAAGGTTGTTCAGAAGTTTCTAAAACAAAAGGAAGGAAAGGAAGAAATAACGACTCACTTTGAGGGCCTAACAAATGTCCATGTGTTTTCACATATTTAGTTCAGGGACGCTTCTCTGCAAAACTATAAAGGAGGTAGACATTTTATAGGTAAGGAAACTGATGCTTCTTGAAATTAAACCTGCTTCAAATCAAATAGCTGAAAGTAGCAGTAACAGGATAAAAAACTATGGCTTCTGAGTCTGACATATGAACTGCAACAAGTAGGAATTAACTGTTTTCATTGGTGGTGGGTAGGGGGTTCTGACAAGGGGAGCCAGATAGGAAGCTAATATTTAGCCCCAAATAAGATAAACTGGTTATGTTAATTGTGCAGAGAGGCTGTTACAGATACAAACAAGACTTCAAATAAACTAATATCATTACTATTTAACAAATATCCTCTCCACAAATCACACCTTATTCTTAAATGTTCCTATAGTTCTAAAAACCTCTTTGAGCTTTCCAAAAATATATCTCTTTTATTTACTCACTGGTGGGAGGGTGGTATTGTTAAAAAGTAGTATCAATATGTAAACTCTCCTCTCTTGAGATTGTGCAAAATGGCTAGTATATTTTTCCTCATTTGAGGGGAACTTTGGTTCTTGGTCCTTGTATGTGAATGACTCCCATTTTTGTGGATGATGATAAATTGATTTGTAGTCATTGCCACTCTTAAATCCTGTCTTCTCTTTTTCATCTCAGACTTGCTCTCAGGGCTTTCCAGTTTCTCTTCTTGACTTCATTCTTCTGCATTCACAGATTTGGCAGAGCAGCTTAGAAAACCTCTGTGAGCAGAAGACCAAAATATTTAAATGTTTACTGCAGCTGAGGAAATTGCATAGTTGCATCCACTCTCAAAGTTGACAGGGGGCATATTCAAAGTGTCTGAAGGGAAGCTTGAGGGGGGTTTTAATGCATTGCCTTTCTTCACTCAGGTCTAAAAGACTTAAATCTATGCAACGTTCAAAGTTAAAATGATGGACTAGTCCTGTTAGCATATGAAATAGAGTCATTTTGATATTCTGTAGTCTACACACATATACTGTCACACATGAGGTTTTCTTGAATGATTTTATGGCTAATAATTTAACCATGCATTATGCAGACCTAGAAAACAATCTCTTTCTTACTGGTTCTTAGAGGAAACTTAAGGCTTATGTGTCAAAAACTGCTTCATATGTCTATGGAATAATAAGAATGAGGATGTTTTATAATAATTAAAACCTTAAATGAAGCATATATCATCCTCTTATAGAATAAAATTAGTGATGAAAGTATTTAATCCCCTAGAAATGCTTATGCTTATCATGGTGCATGTTCTTTATTATTTTAATGTAGTTTGAAGATAAGTGGTTTTGAGTAGCATAAATGTAACATTATATTGACTATGCAATCAATAAGAAATCACCAACAGTCACAAAAATATTGTGGAGTGCATGAAATGATATAGACATTGTCTCTACTATATTTAATGGAAGCAAGTATTCTTATTGCTGGCTGAGCTTAAAGAGAGCACAAAAAACTGTAAGCTTTTTGAACACAAAATCAATTTTTCATCATCTCCTTCAATTTGTAGCCCCACAATAACTGGCAGTTTAGGTTAATGCTTAAAAGCCCCAGCTTCTAGAGTATGATTGTCATTTTGAAAACAGTCTCTTCCACTTAATGGCAGCATGACCTTGGACAAGTCACTTACCCCCTTTGTGCCTTGGTTTCCTTATCAGTAATATTGAGAAATAAATGGTACCTACTTTCTACACAAAAGGGTGCTTAGCTTAGAGTCCAACACATGGTATGACCATGTAAATGTTCACTGTTATTGTTGGCATTTCTGTTGTTGTTGTTACTATAATTGTCATAGAATTATTTATACAATGTATTACAATTAACTGGTGGCAAATAATATTATGCTTATTGAATTTGGAATAAATTAATCAATTGTAGTCAAACTTATATTTCAACTGGTTTCATCCTTAGGTGGTAGTCAGTTTCTGACCTCATATCTTCATGCAGCAAAATCTAGAAGAAGAATATTATGTCCTCCTGTGTTTCTCATTTAATAATAAGAAAACATTTTCCAGAATTCCTCCCAAATTTTCATTTGCATTTGATTGGCCTGTACAAGGTCACATGCTTATTCCTTTAGCCAATTCCTATGTTTAGGTGTAAGATCTTGAAAGACGATCATTACTTGTTTAGGCTAAGAAGGGTCCACCATGAGATCTGGGCTCAACTCCAAACTGCTCGGCTATACAGATTGGGTATGAGCCAGTCTACCACAACATTGACTGCAGACACCTAGAATTCCTACATTGCCCTGGGGCCTTCAGAAACTTAAAGCAGATATGGAGAGAGGAGATTTTTTCAACTTATATTATTTCCGAGGATGAGAAGAGTCCAAGGGAAGAACTCCCCAGAAAGAGAAACAGCATATGTGAAGAGCAGCCTGGGGCATCTGTAGGAGCAGTCACTGAGGCCACAAGATAATAAGGGAGTGAGCAGCAGGTCCAGATCACTGGGGGCATGGAGGCAAGTTAAGGAGGGTGAATTTGATCGCAAATGCAATAGGAAGGCTCTGAACAACTGTAGGCCAGGCAGTAGCATTCTCAGAGATTCAAATTTTAAAGATCTTTATAGATGTTTCCTAGATGGCAAAATGAAGAAGGTGGGAATGGAAAAGACAACATAGAAAACTGCTGAAATATTCCAGGCTACAGAAGACATTATTTAGACTAGAGTGGTAACAGTGAAAAATGGAGGGGACAGGTGGGAGTGAATAAGTGATGTAGCTTGGAAGTAAATGCAACTTACTACCAAAACATTTCACTTAGCAATTGATTGAAGGAAAACAAATCAAGAATGAATCCTGTGTTTCTGATAAGAACAGTGGTTTCTTAAGATGGGAAGATTGAGAAAAAGATATTGGGGTCCTATGAGTGTTTGGTTTTCTTCAAGTTCATTCCAAGTAGAGCTGTCAAGAAAGCAGTCATGGTGCTCAAAAAGGGAACTTTTAGGTAGAGATAGAACTTTGGGAATTATAAGCAAAGAGATGGTATTTAAAACCATAAAGTAGGATCAGATCAATTAGAGATAGGAGTAAGTAGAGAAGAGATGAGATGAGTGAAAGAAAAGTTCTGGAAAATCCAAACATTTACAGGGCAGGTGAGAAGATGTGGTTACAGAAGAGACAGGGAAATATAGCAGAGTGTGAAGTCATAGGAACCACATGATATTTCTTGAAAAGATGCATGATTAACAGTCTTGAAGGCCTCTGAGAAGCCTAGTAAGATAAAACTGAAAAATACTCCTTAGAATTATGCAGAAGTCATTTGTGACTTGGACAAAGTAGCTTGATTGGACTAGTAAGGGAAGAAGCCATACTGAGTTGTTTAATGCTGACAGGTAAGAGGGAGTTTGAGACACTGGTTGTAGATAATATTTATTTTTATGAATCTCAGTCTTCCTCGTTTTTGAAAAAGAAGATTAATAGTCATGTGATTAAAATTATGCTGAAGAAAGCAGTATTTACTAAACCATCCATTCCTATGAAAAGTATTCTAAGTCTTTTTTTCCATTAGGGACTGCTACCCCTCTCCTTCTGTCTCACATTCCCCCCAACAAAAAAGATACATATCAGAATTGCCATATGGTGAGAAGAAGCAGGCAGATAGAAAGATGTTTATAAAAACAAAATAAAGCCCTGGAGAGACAATGTAAGCCAAAAGAAAAGGGACAGATGGATAAGCTTAAGCAGAAGGATAAGCCCTTAGCCTCTGCACAATCAATAAATGTTGACTGGCTATTGACAAGAAAGGGGGCAGGAGAGCAGGAGAAGCACATTGGGGGGAAAGGCGTTTCTTCATGACAGCTGCTGTTGCCACCACCAACCAGCTGTTCAGGTCCACAACTCGGAACATTCTGGTCCCCTTACCACTCTCCTATGGGGCCCAAACTCACACCCAGATACTGCTGTCTTAGAAGAGATGTCATATGTGATTTATATTGTATTGAGCTGGTACCTGTTAAATCATTGAATAGGCCAGGAGAAAACTTTGCCTATGCAATGAATGAATGACGCTTACACTCTATTCTCTCCATACCCTGGACTCTGATGGTCCTCAAAGCTGTGGGAATATGCAGTCAAACACAGTTGCAGGCTTTCCAGCTATAAAGAGGAAGGCATATTCTAGAGTTTTAATAGGGGAACATTCTTTTATTCTCCTCAGTGGGATTAGGTTTAGGATTGTTAAGATTAGGTTAGGTTTAGATTATTATACCCTGAACTCCCCCATTCATCTCTATTGGAAATGTCCTTTTTTCCCTCATATATGGACAGTCTGAGATTATCTTACCAGTGCTTGTCCTTGCCCCATGTGAAGAAGCTCCTTGATTACTCATTTACAAATTTCATGTGATAATTTTTTCTCTTACCTGCAAGGAACTGATAAATTGAAGATTTTTCTTTTAAAAGTAAGATTATTAATTTATTGATTACTTAGGGGTGTCCTGGAT